TATATCTAGCTTACAGCACCTAAAATTGCCATTTGGGTAGGTAAAACATGGCAGTTTCAAATGGTTCAACCAAATAGGGTTTACTCTGAACCAGGTGCTGTTTCTACGAGGCAGGAACTATTAACATCCCCTTCTTACAGATGAGCAGCCTAAGGCAGCGAATTTACGTGACTTGCCCAAGGTCACACAGCTAAGGAGTGGGAAACTGAGGTACAGTTGGAAGATCTGGCACCCGTAGGTCACACACACACAATAATGGGCTGTGTTTTTCTCCTTGGCACTTAGCACCTTCTAATATAGTATTAATGTATATTATTGATTATATTAGATATTATCGATGATATCCTATATATGCATATTGATTATATTGTACATTATTGATTATATTATACATACACTGATTATATTATGTATATTATTGATTCTATTATATACATTATTGATCATATTATATATATTATTGACTATATTATATATATATAGATTGATTATATTATATATGATTCTTGATTTGCCTTGTTTATTATCTGTCCCTCCCCCAGCTCAATCGTCAGCTGTATGAGGGAAGGGATTTTTTATCTATTTTGTTCACTAACCCCATTGCCTGGCACATACTAGGTGCCCAATAAGTGTCTGTTAAATAAATTGTAATAATTGAGTAAAATATTTGGCTGCAATGTGCCAGACACTGCATAAGCATTTTTAAGTAGACAAACTAACTGGATTCTCTGAATTATTATGGTTATAATGAATTATTATGACCATTTTACAGGTGAGAAAAGTAAGTCCCAGAGAGGATGAGAAACTACCCATGATAAAGTGTGTGTTCAAAGTCATGCATCTAGGAAGGGGCTGATTAGGATTTGAACCTGGGAAGTCTGTGCTTGGCCAGCTTAACTCACTTTCTTGGACCCTCTAGGGTTTGAGATCCCTGCCCAGCACCCATGCAAGAGCTCTCCCAGTCCTGCCTGGCCCAGCCAGGTCCCACTGCCCCCATTCCTCCCCAGCTGGGTGGGGGTCCTCACCGTGATGGCCTGGAAAGACCGGAACTCCAGGTAAGTGAGGTGCTCAGCCAGCTCCTCTGTCTCCAGGTGGTCGAAAAGCAAGGATACTTTGCGCTTTTTGCCCAGGCCAGGGCTACTCGTGGTGGGTGGAGGACCAGGGCCACCAGGGCTCAGGCTAGGGGCAAAGAGGGGCAGGGTAGTGGAGGGACTCAGGGTAGAGGACTGGAGGATGTGGAGGGGGTGGGAGGAGGGGGTTGGGCAGGAAGGGGGTAGGTGGGGTGGGGCTGACTCACAGATTGGAGGAGCCCCCCAGGTTCCTCTGGGCTGAGCCTCCCTCCTGATCCACAGTGGCCCAGAAGCGACCTATAACCTCTTCTAGTTGGGGCTCTTGGTGCACTGCTTGAGGGTGCCGGGTCAGCCAGTACCTGGGGGTGATTTGGAGATGGTGGGAGGAGGCTGGGAGGTGGGAGAGCGGAGAGTTTCTGGAAGGAGTCTCTTGGGCTGAGGAGGGGTCTCTCGAGGTGTGCAGGGGGTCTCTGGAAGGTCAGGGTTTGGGGGAGCACCAGACTGTTGGGTCTGCTGGGAGAAGGACTGAGGTCTCTTACACAGTCTGCAGGATTCTATGGGAGCTAGGCAGGGGGATCTCTTGGAAGTAGGATTGTTGGAAAGCAGGATGGTGGGTCTCTGGGAGGTGGAGGTTTTGGGGACCAGAGCTGGAGGTCTCTGAGCATGAGGTCGGAGAGGGTCTCCAGGAGATGGGCGTTCTAAGGAGCAGAACTGGGAGAGTCTTAGAACCAAGCTGGGGGCTTGTGCAAGTGGGATTTATAGGAGCAGGGCTAGGTGGGTCTGTGGGAACTGGGTTAGGGAGTATCTGGGAGGTAGTTTTGGGGGGCAGCAGGGTGGGGTTTGGGTCATGAGTGTAGTGATCTTGGTCCAGCCCTACCTGACCAGGTGACAGATCTGCAGCTGCCTCAGCTCCTGCGTGTTCCCTGTGGCTTCCTGGTACTTGAGTTTGGTCAAGGCTCTGTTATCCAGCATCCCCGACCTGCCCCACTCACCCTGTCCCCATCTCTGGGGCTTTTGCAACTCTGCCCTCCTCCCTCCAACCTCTGCTCCCACCTGGGGAGGATATAAGGTCAGCAGCCGGGCAGCAAAGTGGGCGGAAGGCAGCACCCAGCTATGCATGGCCAGCACCATGTTGAGAACGTGGTCCCCATGGCACAGGTTGCCAGCTGAGTCTGGGGTGGGTGGAAGAAGGGGATTGTGTCAGACTGGCCTCTGGGCAATGGACTGCACAGTCTCGAGGGTCAGTTGGACAGTCTGGCTCAAACCCTCGCTCTACCAGCAACTTCCTGTATGAACTTGGGCAGGCAACTCAACATCCTCGTGCCTCAGTTTCCTTGTCTGTGCTGTACATAGAGTAGTGGTTAAGAGCCAGGACTCTGGACCCAGCTCCTTTGGGTTCAAATTCCAGCTCTGTCACTTACGAGCTGTGTTACCTGATTAGTGATGGAATCTCTGTTGCCTCAGTTTCCCTAACTATACGTTATATTAGTAAGTAAGTGGGCAGTAAGTAACTGGTGGCTGTAAGTGGACCTGTGTTTTTTAATGAATCAGGAAGACCGAAGAGGAACTGACGCCTTTGAATTACGGTGTTGGAGAAGAGTACTGAATATGCCACGGACTGCCAGAAGAACGAACAAATCTGTCTTGGAAGAAGTACAGCCAGAGTGCTCCTTGGAAGCAAGGACGGCGGGACTATATCTCACCTACTCTGGACATGTTATCAGGAGGGACCAGTCCCTGGAGAAGGACATCATGCTTGGTAAAGTAGAGGGTCAGTGAAAAAGAGGAAGACCCTCAACGAGATGGACTGACACAGTGGCTGCAACAATGGGCTCAAGCATAACAATGATTGCGAGGACGGCGCAGGACCCGGCAGTGTTTCGTTCTGTTGTACGCGGGGTCGCTATGCGTCAGAAGCGACTTGAAGGCACCTCACAACAACAGAAGTGAACCACAAGCTTCCCAGTATGCATCAGCACGAGGCTGGGCACAAAAGAGGCATCTAACGATGGGGGAACAAAGTCTCTGCGCCCTCCCCATCTCGGGAAGGATGCCTGGCTCATTCCTCACGCTCCTGCCCCCATTTTATATCCCTAGAAACTGAGGCCTAGAGAGAGGGGGGTGCTTGACCCAGCATGAGGCCTGGGGAGGCTAGCCGGGGAGAGGGACACTCACCGAAGGACTGGATGCATTTCTCCAGCAGCTCATCTTCACTGCAGCCCCTGTCGTTCAGCACGCCCAGAGCCATGGAAGCCATAACCTTGCTGATTTCCCGGGGGCTGGGGCAGGTCTTGTGACGGCGGACCAGTCGGGGCCGGCCCCGCGCCCCTGTCACCCCTGAGCATTCCTGGTGTGACTTCCTGCAGGCACAGCCCTGAGGGAGTCATGGGAGCCCCTTCCTCCCGGCCAAACCCAAAACCAAACCCATTGCTGTTGAGTCAATTCCGACTCACAGCCACTCTGTAGGACAGAGTAGAACTGCCCCATAGAGTTCCCAATGAGCACCTGGTGGATTTGAACTGCTGACATTTTGGTTAGCAGCGGTAGCGCTTAACCACTTCACCACCAACGTTTCCTCCTCACAGCAGACACCCAGAATTCTTTTTGACCTCAAAGCCATGAGGCATCATGGGAGGAGCTTCCTAAAGGCAAAGCCCCAGGGTTACTCCTGACCTACCGTGGACTCACAGGAGAAAACCCCAGTATTTAAGACCCCCTGAGGAATCGTGGGAGCCCTCTCCTACAAGTAAGCCTTCAGAGTTACTCCTGTTCCTTCCAGGGAATCATAGGACAAGACCCCCAGGACTAAAGACCCCCCAGGGAATCATGGGAACTCCCTCCTCCAGGCAGTGCCCCCAAATTCCTCTTGACTGCATGGTCCCAAAGCATCATTGGAAAGGCTTCTTGTAGGCCGACCCCTAGGATTAGTCCTGATCTCCCAGGGAATCATGGGAGAAGACCCCTAGGATCAATCCCATCCTCCCCAGGGGGCATTATGGGAGATCCTGCTTTCAGGCCGACTCTTCAGAATTCCCTTTTCTCCAACATCTCCCCCGCCACCTCCTAAGAGCCCACTCCTGCAGGCCTACCCCTGGAATTCCCACTCTCTCCTTTCCCCCCTCCAGGCCTACTAGGGGACACCCCTTTCCCCGCAAGCCAGCTCTTAGCAGGACCCAGAGTCTTAGTGCCAGCCCAGGTCCCTCGATTTGGGGCCTTGAGACAAAATACAGGTGGGAAGTGGCCTCGCCAGGGCTCCTCAGAGCTAGGCGGGGTCCCTGGGGCTACGATGGCTTCAAAGAAAGTTTAGAAGTAACCCTCGGCCTGCCTTGTGCCTCCCCAAGGCTCCTGTTCCAGTTGGGGAAAGAGGGTAATGGAGAGACAAGAATGTCAGGAGGAAGGACGGAGCCGAATCAGGCAGCATGGCCTTGGGTTATGCAGGAGTCAGAAAGGACCAGGTTTGAGACACTCGACTTGGCTGTGTGACTTTGTGTTAGTCACTTAATTTCTATGGGTCTCAGTTTCCTCGTGTGAAAAGTGAGGGTCGTCCTTGGACCTTCCCCAGGACCTTGTGAACATTCGATGCCTGGCTCCCTCAAGGTACTAAATAATGGACTCAGTTTGCCCAGGCTGGTAAGTGGCCAGAGGTGGGGAAGATGACCTTGAGGTGCAGAGAGAGAAAGCCACAGAGGCAGAGTAAAAACCAGGCCTGGGGAAGCGGGTGGAACAGGAAACAGGGAGACCCTCCTAATAAGGGCACTGCTGTGTCCCCGGCACATCCCAAACCAAACCAAACCAAAACCCAAACCAGTTGCCATTGAGTGGATTCCAACTCATGGCGACCCCATGTGTGTCAGAGTAGAACTGTGCTCCCCAGCATTTTCAGTAGATGACTTTTTGCAAGTAGGTCACCAGGCCTTTCTTCCAAGATGCCTCTGGGTAGACTCGAACTTCCAACCTTTGGGTTTGTAGCCGAGCTCGTTAACTGCACCACCCAAGGACCCCGAGCACATCCTATTCCTGTTCCCGTTGCCGTGGAGTCGATTCCGACTCATAGCGACCCTATAGGACAGAGTAGAACTGCCCCATAGGGTTTCCAAGGAGCGCCTGGTGGATTCGAACTGCCGACCTTTTTGGTTAGCAGCTATAGCATTTAACCACTACGCACATCCTGAGGGCTCCGTAAATTGGTATTGATTGTTGTTGAATAGCAGCTGGGCATTGATTAAGTGCTTCATAAGCATGAGGCCAAGGGTGGAGCACTCAGTCTAGATCAGTGTTTCTCAAAACATGGCCCTAATCAGTAGCAACTGCATCCCTTGGGAACTTATTAGAAACGCAAATTCTCAGGCCCCGTCCCCAGACCTGCAGAATTAGAAACGTTGGGGAGTGGGCCCAGTAATCTGTGTCTGACACACCCTCCAAGTGATTTGGACAAGCCCTGGTGGCAAAGTGGTCAGGAGCTCGGCTGCTAACCAAGAGGTCAGCAGTTTGAATCCATCAGCTGTTCCTTGGAAACCCTGTGGGGCAGTTCTACACTGTCCGATAGGGTCGCTAGGAGTCGGAATCGACAGCAGTAGGTTTGGTTTGATCTGGTTTCAGGTTGGAGAGCCGCTGGTCTAGGTTCTCACAAGCTTCTCCGAGGGAGGGACGATGGTCATCCTATTGACACAAGAGGAAACTGAGACACAGAAGTAAGTGACTTACCTGAGGTCCTGCACCTGGGAAATGCGGCAGCCGCTCCCGCCACTAAACTGCTGTATATTGTGGGAAGGGGATCCCTTTGCCAATCAGGGATATCCTGGGGGAGGCTGGACGAGCTGCCCACACTGGGGACCCAGCCGCCATCTGCCTCCATGAGGACAGGAAGGCATGGGTGTCCAGGTGGTAGGAAACCCAGCTCAGAAGGCGCAGACATAGCCAGCCACTGCCCCTTACCTGCGGATTGCACTGCCTAGAGCCCTAGCAGCGGTTTAAGAGGCAGGGGAGTGACTTGCTCTGCGTCACACTCCCCTCCCCTGGGGTAGGGCCCTGCAGGAGCCTGGAGTTTCCAGTGCAGGGGGCATCGACTCTGATGGGCAACGGTAAGGTCACAGGAAGGACAGAGACACCCAGCCTGCGGAGCTAGGAGAGGTAGGGGAGAGGGGGTCGCAAGGCAGCTGAGACTCCAGAGACGGGGAGGAAAAGGCACAGATACACATAGGCAAACAGCCGCCAGCCTTAGCTCTGATCTTTACCGAGCGCTCAGTCCTTGCCTAGTGCGTATTCGGCACTCAGTAAATGCCCAGCTGTCATTCAACAGCCGTCGATACCGATTCATTGAGCCCTTAGGATGTCCCAGGGGTCCCCGGATGATGCAACCGGTTAACGCGCTTTTGGCTGCTAAGCCAAAGGTTGGAGATTCGAATCCATGCAGAAGTGCCTCTGAAGAAAGGTCTGAAGCATCTTTCCGTCTGGTACTCCCTGCTCCAGATCCGGGGGGACTCGGGCACCTTACCCCCTCCGTTGTCCCTCCCCCACCTTCCCACGCAGCCGAAAGCGCAGGGGCTTAGGATGCCCCCGGTGTCCTCGGAGGGTCCTCTCACCTCTTGCTGTCTTTCCTGTTCATGCTTCCTGCGGAGGAGGGGGTCCTGCAAGAGCGCAGCTCACAGCTCCTCCCCGCTCGCCTGGGCTCCAGCTGCTTAGCTCCCTAGGAGCGGGGCCTTCTCGGTGCTTGAGAGGGAAAGAGGAACTGCCCCTCCCCACCCAGCCCCAGGCCAGGGGGAAGGAAGAGGCTGCGGAGAGACCAAGGGTCCCTCCCCCTCATGGGGGATCCCTCCAGGCTGAGGTTTCCGGTGGCTGCCCGCCCCCACCCCCAATCGCCCAGCGGTCTCTTTATCTACCCATCTTTCTGTCACTTGCCCAGTGATCCTCTGTTCTGTCACTGTCATACTTCACTAAAAACGGTTTTTTTTTTTTAAGTATGCCTAACATGACACATTTATGTAAAAAAAAAAAACAAAAAAAACCCACACACTCAAAAGAAGAGTCTGTATTTCTAAAAGAACATTTCATGTGTACAATACCCCAAGGTTTGAATGAAAACTCACACAACATAACATTTTGAATATTTCTTCTAATGTTTCTTTGATTCCAAGTTTAGTTTTAATGACACAATTTGTACCCCAGGAAACACTTTCACTGTACTACTTTTATTACAGCAAACCTTTATGTAGCACCAACTGTGTACCATGGAGTCCTGGTGATGTAGTGGTAAAGAGCTGGGCTGCTAAGCAAAAGGTCGGCAGCTGGAATCCACCAGCCGCTCCTTGGAAACCCTATGGGGCAGTTCTACTCTGTCCTACAGGGTCACTAGGAGTTGGAATCAACTGGATGGTGGAACTTTTTTTTTTTTTTTTTAACTCTCTACCACATACTGTTCGAAAGGCTTTTAAAATATTAATTCATTTACTCCTCTACAATCCAGAGACCACTATTATCTTACTGTCGAAGCATTACTGATGGAGGTAAAACGCTCTGGGAGCCCCCCTCACCCCGCTGTCCCTCTTGGGGCAAGGGTGACCAATATTACATTTACGGGGTTTCATCCAAACTGCTGACTGTTCATTTATGCACACAGATACGTACTCAAAAAGGCAGACTTTTCTTTTGAGCGTATGTGTTTTTTTCTTTTACTTATAATGTGTCATACTGGAATACTTTTTCATTGAAGTTCAAAAAAAGAGCACCAATCATACATGTGTAGGCTGCTGAATTGTCACAAACTGAGCATACCCATGTGATATAAATGCAGAAATAGAACGTTCCCATCCCCCAGACACTGCCTCCTAAAAGTTACTGCTAGCATGCCTTCTAACAGAAAGTGGCTTTGCCTGGTCTTGAGCTGTATACACATAGAGTACTTTACTGTGTCTAGCTTCTTTTAGTTAACATCATGGCATTTATTCTTTTCATGGCTGTATAGTACTCCATTGTGTGACTATTCCACAATGTCTTGATCCATTTTCCTGTTGATGGACATTCAAGTTGTTTCCAGTCTGGGGCTATTGTGAATGTTATGGATTGAATTGTGTCCCTCCCAAATGTGTGTCTCAGCTTGGCTAGGCCAGGATGCCCAGTGTTTTGTGATTGTCTACCATTTTGTCATCTGATGGGATTTTTCTATGTGTTATAAATCCTACCTCTATGATGTTAATGAGGCAGGATTAGAGGCAGTTACGTTAACGAGGCAGGACTCAATGTACAAAATTCGGTTGTATCTTGAGTCAATCTCTTTTGGGATATAAAAGAGACAAGGGAGCAGAGACACAGAGGGACCTCCTACCACCAAGAAAGCAGCACCGGGAGCAGAGCACATTCTTTGGACCTGGGGTCCCTGCACTGAGAAGCTCCTAGACCAGGGGAAGATTGATGACAAGGACCTTCCCCCAGAGACAACAGAGAGAAAGCCTTGCTCTGGAGCTGGCACCCTGAATTCAGACTTCTAGCTTCCTAAACTGTGAGAGAATAAATTTCTCTTTGTTAAAGCCATCTATCTACTTGTGGTATTTCTCTTATAGCAGCACTAGATAACTAAGACAGTGAATAATGCTGCTCTGAACAGTTTAGCACATGTCTTTCGGTGAACATATGTGTCTAATTCTGTACAGTAGGTACCCAGGAGTTAATAAATGGGTCATGGTAATTCGTATGATTCTATCAAACATAGTGTGATGGATTGAACTGTTTCCCCCCAAAATATGTGTTGAATTCCTGGCCATTGTAACGGTGGATGTGACCCTGTTTGGGAATATGTTTGTTTCTTTTACATTAATGAGGTCACGTCAGTGTAGGGTGACCTCAAAACTCAAAGCCCTTACAACTGATCACTTCTGCATTACAAGAAGGCTGGAACAGACTCAGAGAAACAGACACTATGTGAGGATGGTCTTCAAACCAAGGAAAGCCAGGGAACCCAGGAACACCCAGTGCTCCATACCAGGAAGAAACCGACAGGGTGGAGGCCCTGATTGGGATAGCTAGCCTCCGGAACTTTGAGAAAATAATATTTTGTTCTTTAAAGCCACTTCCATGTGGTATTTGTGTTATAGCAGCACTAGGTAACTGATACATATAGTTTGTTAACTGATTCGACCAAACAGCTCTCCTAAAAGTATCTTTTTGCTTCTTCTTTTTTTTTTTTCACTAAAAGAAGTCTCCTTGGATATTTTTTCATGTCATGGCATTTAGACAGGCACAGAGCCCACTCTCTTTGGCTTTGCCATCACATGACAGCCCACAGTCTCAGACCCTCTCTCCCCATCTCCTCCTGCCTCTTTGCCCTTCTCTCTCTGCCTGTCTCAAGCGGCAGTCTCTGTAATGTGTTGTCTGTCTCTCAGCCCATCTCCTGCAGCACCTGCATCTCCATGATGTGATGTCACTCTCCTGGCTGAGCCTGGTAGTCTGTGTGAGAGAAGCCTTAGGGAAGGCGGTCGGAAAAGGCCCCGGCACTTGTATAGATGCAATGCTGCCCTCAAGGCCCACAGGGACGGTTAATACCAGCAATAACAGCACAGACAACCACAGAGGAAAAGACTTCTGAATCAAACCACCAAAACGCATCAGGCAGAAAAAAACGATGCCCTCAATAACACCCGAATAAGGATTCCTGTTTAATGAGGACACTGCGGGATGAATATCAGGCTGCAGAATGGGAAAAGATACTCGCAGTGTTTCAAGGGAATGTGAAATGAATATTAGCACGTACAAGGAACTACTACACATCAGCAAGAAAAGAGACAGCAGCCCTGGAAGAAAAATGGTCAGAGTAAGGGTGGGAAACCCAGAATTCTGACAGGCATGCGCGAGAGAAGATGTTCGAAGTTACTGGTGATGGCTCAGGGAAATGCAAAATAAGATGTCAGTGAGTCGTCCTATTGGTCTGGCAAAAATTATTAGTTGGAAACTGCCAAGTATGGGTTGGGGTCATGTGCGCCCTGGAACCCTTGGCAGTGCTGGTGGGGGACGTGGCCCGAGGCAGCCGTTCAGAGGCCACCCGACACTCCTTAGTCAAATTAGTCTGTGCATGTAGCTATCACCCAGCAATTAGCTCCTGAGCTGAAATCCCAAAACCTTCTCACTCAGCTCCACTAGGCGACATATCCAAGGATGTTTACTGCAGCAATAATTTCAGGGTGTCCCCCTCCCCAGGGGAGTGGTGAGTAAACAGAAGGTGACAGTCACCAGGCAGTCCTGTGCCACCTGCCACCAGCAGTCACAGACCAGACATGCACAGAACAACACAGGTAGATCTTTAAACATGGAACGATGACTAAGGAAAAGAACAGATGATATAATGCACGGTCACACAGAATCATTTTATATTCCATGTGAAATTGCAAGAAAAACTTAATATTTAATATTCAGTTATGCATTATATAGTGTATGATAGACGTAATATATAATGGTATTGTTATGTATGATTCATATTAGCATAAACATATAATTATATAATAATTATACATTATAGAATTCAGTAACATGGTACACAATTATGTGCTATATATTACAATTTATTAACATACCAATATTGAACTCTGTGACATAGCAATCCATTACATACTTAATAACATTTTATATGCAATTGTTTTGAACTATAATGTATTTGATATAACTTAAAATACACCATTACATGTTGGTAATAATACGTTTATCAGATTTGTTACATTGATCAGTTACCATGTGGTAGGTTTTAATTGATTTCCTCATGGAATCTTCCCCAGGATCTCAGGAGATAGGGACTATTCCGAATTAGCCCAGTTGACAGATGAGGAAACTGAGGCCCAGAAGCTCCAAGTCGCCTGCCCGGCAGGGCGGCCCGCGTGTGTGGCGCCCTGGGCTTGGCCTCTAGGCCCCAGGCAGCCCGCTTTAGGGAACTGCAGAGGGCCCCCCGCGCGCGCTCCGCGGAGTGCTGAGGCGCAGGGCTGGGGCCGGGAGCAGGAAGGGGCTGGTTACAGGGGCCTTCCGGGGCAGGCGGCCCTGAGCTCCGCGCGCAGGCTTGGAAAGCCCGGGGCACTTATCTGCATAAAGGGGCGTCTCCTGACTAGCGGCCCTCAAGGCTTACGCAGCCCCGGGGAGGGGGAGCGGCGGGGGCGAAGTTAGACCCCTGGGGGTCAGGACCTGGTCTGGGAAAGCGGTTTTTGTTTTAATGGGGGGATTTTATGGAAATACCTAGTTGACGACGTATAATGATTAAGAGTTCTATCTTGTCTCTGAGTTTGAATCCCAGCTCTGCCTCTGTGGGACCTTGGGCAGATCACCCTACCTCCCAAAGCTCAGCTCCCCTCATCTGTAAATGGATGGGGACCCTAAGCGAACTGGCCTCACGAGATTGCGGTGAGAGCTCCATGATGTATACGCATCATAGCCTTAAAACTATACACAGGGAGGGTCACACATTTTTATTTCCTCCTGTAAACAGGGGAGCTCTGGTGGCGCGGTAGTTAAGAGCGATGACTGCTAATCAGAAGGTCGGCAGTTCGAATCCACCAGCGGCTCCCTGGAAACCCTACGGGGCAGTTCTACTCGCCGGGAACAGGTTTCGTTTTTCGGTTTTTTCCTTCTAAACAACAGGCATAACAGGATTTTAAGAACAAAATAAGACCCAGTAAAAAGCCCTTAGCTTGGGCCTGAAATGAACACGAGAGTCCACGGCTGTGGCCATTATTCCCGCCGCCTCATCAGACAGCATTTGAAATAACAGCAACACTTACATAGCGTTTACTATGCTCCGGCACTGTTTTAAGTGATGTAGATAAATCATCTCATCTAATCCGGGCAACAGCACTAGGAGGTAAGTTCTATTAATATGGGGAAACTGAGGCACGGAGAGGCTAAGTGACTTGTCCAAGGTCACACAACGGAGTGGCGGGACTGGGATTCGGATCCAGACTGTCTGGTTCAGAGTCCTGGCTCTAACCACTGCGTATTGTGCTTTTTAAAGTTGGGGGAGCAGGGGTGTGCATCCCGGCCCTGCTGTGATGTTGGCCAAACTTCCCCACTCAGAACCTCAGTTTGCCCTCTGTGATATGGGGAGAATGATGGCCCCTTCCTCACGGTGGAAGTGGACGGAGAGCAGCTGCCTCCTAGACGCTCCGCCCACCTTCCCGCCACGCACTCCCGGAGCCAAGGTTTGGGGCCTGGGGGCGGGGCTCAGGCGAGGGGCGTGGTCTGTCCCGCCCTGGCCCAATGGGGCGCGGGGGGCGGGGACCTCCGGCCGTCTCCGTCCAGCACGCGCGTCCTCCTCGCAGTTCCATCCACCTCTCGGGTGCTTCTGGCGCCCCTTGCCGTCTCCAGCCCCAGCCCGCCCAGCGTACGGCCCCCTTCCCCGGTCCCCTGACCTCAGCCCCGGCCCCTCGGGCTTCGACATCATGGGTGACGGAGGAGAGGGGGAGGACGACGTCCAGTTCCTGCGGACGGTGTGTATCTTTGGGTTACGGGTCTCCGGGGCTATCTCTCGAGGTCTCTCTGAGCGTGTCTCTGGATGTTTCTGTCCTGCTTGCTGGTGGTCTCTGAGACGCGGGGTCTCTTCTTCTGTCACTTTGGATAATTGTCACTCTGTCTCTCTTAGTCTGTCTCCCCCATGTCTTTCATGACTGAGAATGAGCAAGGTTTAGGACTGCAGAATGGGGAGGGGGGTCTTCGGCCGCCCTCTCTTCTGACATTGGCGGTTTATCTGGGAGAAGGCAGGCTATTGAGGGAACACCCGCTCCCACCACTCTGGAAGCAGGCACTTAGGGAGGGTGGTTCTAATTCCTCCGCTTAATTTAGCTGTCCCTCCCCCCACCCCCCTTTCTAGCCCTAATTCTCTTCTTGCTCCAGGCTCTGACCTACTTAAATTCTTGGGAAGGGGACTGGGTGGGCTGGAGGACCTGACTCCTTTCTACCCCTAGCCCTTGAGGGTCTCCTGGGGGTCCCTCTGTCTTTCTTTCCACATTGGCTTTTGGGAGGAGGGTCACCTATGGCTGCTAAGGGTCTCTGAAGGTCTCTGGGTGGTGTCTCTCCCTATCTGTCTCTTTGGATTATCTCTGTGTCTCTCTCTCCATCTCTGTCACTCTTTGTCTTTGTTCCTCGGCTCCAGGCCCTCTGCATTTCTCTTTGTCTCTCTGGCCGTCTCTGTCTCTCTAACTGTCTCCCCCAGCATCTCTGATCCTTGGCTGTAGGCAGGGATGGGAGTTGGAACAACAGGTGTCCCTCCCAGAATAGCCCACTCTTCTGGGGCCTGGACAGGGGACAGGGAGAGGACGAGAGGGAGGAGGGGCCACCCAACCTGGAGTCCTTCCCTGCTTTCCTTCCCTGTGGTTCAGCCTGGTGTGGTGGGGAGTGTGAGTATGGGGTGGGGACACGTTCTCTCCTCTGGGCCCAGTCTGCTGACCCTGCACCAGCCCCTTCCCCCATTCCCAGGCCCTGAGTCCATGCAGGAAATGCTGACACAGCATTGCGGCCCCAGAATAGGACCCTGGTGAGCGGGGTCTGGTTTCCAGGGAGGGAGGAGAGAGCAGCTGGGGGTAGTATTGAAGGATGGGGACAGCTGCACAAGAGGCCGCAGGAGGAGGCCTGGCTGCAGCCTAGCCTCTCGGCCCATCCCCAGCCTCTTAGCAGATACCATGGGTTGGGCCCTCCCTTCCTCCCTGGCCCTAATAAGACCACAGCCATGGCCACTAGCCCCGAAACACTCACTCTACCCCAGGCCTGGTGCCCAGGGCCTTGGCCTCCTGAGGCATCTAATTATATCCTCTCTGCCCTCTCTTCTGAGGTAGGGCCCTATCTTTATCTCCCTGGGAGATCTGAGGGAAACCGAGGACCAAGTGGTAGAGTCACTCATCCAAGGTCAAAGCCAGGAGGCGGCTACTCTGGATGTCCCTGGGGTCCAGCCCTCCTGTTTTCACAAGAGAAAAAAACTGGGCTCAGACATGCCAAGGTAGTCAGCGCTGAGACTGCAGCATCTCTTGACCCCAGCTGCAGCTGTGTCTCTGAACTTCATTGAGGTCGCGTGGTGGTTTTCTCAAACCTTTTGGACTGCATCCCACCAGTAAGAAATATATTTTATATTGCAACCCAGTACATGCACATACACACATACATTCTTAAAAAAATCAACTTTACTGATGCATAATTGATGTGCAATAAATTGCGCCCAGTTGAGTGAGTTTTGACAAAGTGTGCATACCTATGGAACTACCATACAGCCAGGACACAGAACGTTTCCTTCACCCTAGAAAGTTCCTCCATGATTTTTGCAGTAACCACCCTGCACGTCTGCTTTATGTCACTATAGATTCAATTTGTCTCTCCTAGTGTTTCCTATGGAAACCCTGGTGGTGTAGTGGTTAAGAGCTCAGCTGCTAACCAAAAGGTCAGCAGTTCAAATCCACCAGCCGCTCCTTGGAAACTCTATGGGGCAGCTCTACTCTGTCCTATAGGGTCACTATGAGTCGGAATCGACTCGATGGCAACGGGTTTGGTTTTGGGTTAGTGTTTCGTATACGGTATATGCTCCTTTATCTCGCTTCTTTCGCTCAGTGTCACATATATTTCTTTTTATTGTGATTTAGGTGAAAGTTTACAGCTCAAGTTAATTTCCCATACAAAAATTTATGCACGTATTGTTTTGTGACATTGGTTACCATCCCCACAATGTGACAGCTCTCTCCCCCTTTCCACCCCGGGTTCCCTGTGTCCATTCGCCCAGTTCCTGTCCCTTCCTGCCTTCTCATCCTGCTTTTGGACAGGAGCTGCCCATTGGGTCTCGTGTATCTGACTGAACTAAGAAGCATGTTTTCACGTGTATTATTTTTTTGTTTTACAGTCCTGTCTAATGTTTGTCTGAAGAGTGGGCTTCGGGAATGGTTTCAGTTCTGGGTTAACAGAGCGTCCGGGGGCCATAGTTTCGGGGGTCAGTGTCATGTTTTGGAGCGTGTGTCAAGAGTTTGTTCCTTTTCATTGCTGGGTAGATTCCCTTGGGTGACTATACAACAGTTTGCTTATCAGCCCACCTGCTGATGGACCTTTGGGTTGTTTCTATGTTTTGCTCTTGCGAACAAAGTCTCTTTGAATATGCACACACACCTATTTTAAACGGAAACAAGTTTCATAAAACGTAGGTAGCCCTTAAAGCAGGAGCGGGTGGGGCACGTTGCCATTTTCTCTCCTGGCTCTATTTTATTTCACGTTTTCAGCACGGCGGCCATGGTCCGTCGAACTGATTTCATTTCTTACCGATAGGTGGCGCCCTCTAGCCCTGTCCAGGCTGGAGTTTCTCAAAGCATGTCTTCAGCATCTCATACCAGAACCTCCTGGGGGCTGGTTAATGGTCCAGACTCCCCGCCGACCCCTGTCCATCCTAGAGCCACTGAAGCAGGTTCTTGGGAAGGGGGAACTGGTGGCAGCAAAGAAGCTGCATTTTAAACAAAATCACTTCCTCCCAAACCCCATCATTCTGATGCAGGAGAAAGGTTAAGAGTCAATGGTGTACTGATTATGGGTCCCCCGGTTCTAGTTTGGGCCCTGGTAGCGCAGTGGTTAAGTGTTTGACTGGTAACCAAAAGGTGGGCAGTTCGCATCCACCAGCCGCTCCTTGGAAACTCTATGGGGCAGTTCTACCCTGTCCTATAGGGTCGCTAAGAGTCGGAATCGACCGCAATGGGTTAAGTTTTTTTGTTTGTTTGTTTTGGTTCCAGTTTGCATCCTGGCTCTGTCATTTGCCTGCTTCCTAACTTTGGGCAAACAATTTTTTTTTTTTAATTTTTCTCTCTGAGCCTCAATTTCCTTATCTGGAAAATGGGGACAAACATACCCATGCAAGCACCTCTCCGAGCTCAGCTCCCCCTGCCCCTCGCTCCTGCTGCTGTCGCCGTCCTGGCCCCTTGCTATGCCTCAGCACACCCAGCACCACCCAGCCACGAGGCCTTTGCACAGGCTGCCCCTCTTCCTGGAACGTTCTTCCACCTGACATGAGCAGGCCTGACTTCTCATTATTTGGACAAGGCTCAGCTCAAATGTCACCTCCTTGGAGAGGCTGTCACTTCACCCTCTCACTGATGTCTTCCCAAAAGCCACTCTATTACACCATCTGGGGTTATTTTTTCCATAACACTTATCACTGACATTATAATTATGTATTTATTCACTGCTTATTGCCTGTCTCCCCCATGAGAATGTCCGCTCCACAAGGGCAGGGATTTTTGTCTACTTTACTCACTGCTCTATTTCCAGTGCCTTGAACAATGGCTGGCACATAGTAGGTGCTCAGTAAATGTCTGTTAAATGAACGTAAAGCCCTGGGCAGAAGGCCTGGCAAACAGTAAGTGCTTAATAAATTCAAGCTGTGTGATTACAATGAGTACACAAGTGCCTGGCGTGTGCCAAGGTGCTGGGCTTGGGGGAGTCACAGGATGGAGCTGCCCCCCTGCCTCACAAGGCTGGGTGGACAGACTGAGGGCTGTCTGTGAGGGTCAAAGCCCAGGGTCTGAGGGTGTTTGTGTGATGTGCATGGTAAGGCTGGAGACTGTGTGACCTCCTTAAGCATATTTTCCCTGCTGTAAACTGAGAAAAACCATTGCCTTAAACCAAAACCAAACTCGTTGCCGTCGAGTTGGTTCTGACTCATAGCGACCCTATAGGACAAAGTAGAACTGCTCCCTAGGGTTTCCAAGGAGCGGCTGGTGGATTTGAACTGCCGACCTTTTGGTTAGCAGCCAAACGCGTAACTACTGCGCCAGCAGGGCTCCATCACTGCCTTACTCAATGGGTAATTAAGAGCCGGGGTTTCCATCACTTTGTTGGAAAATTTGTTTTCCATTTGGATGGAAATTTGTTCCCACTAAAAATAGATGTATGTGCATGCTCAAAGAGGCTTTGTTCACAAGAGCAAAACATGCAAACAACCCAAAAGTCCATCAGCGGACCCCATCAGTAAAAAATGTTGAGCACACCCCCTCAGGTACATTTATATGAGTTATACATGTTAGATATCAATACATGAGTTATACATGTCAGGTATCAATACAGGAGTTATACATGTCAGGTGATGGGTTTTCTGCTGTGATAGTTGATTAGATCCATCAGTCATAGGCTTAATCTCTTTAACAAAAGATTGTGCAGCCATGTTCTTGATGAAATTCCTTAGTTTGT